GATTGAAGATGTGAGTGAGGGAGCATAGGATGGAAGAAGAGGGTGACCATAGTAGTTGTGAAGGGACAGGATCCAGGGGGCAGGTAGTGAGACGGGCTTCTCAGAAAACCTTAGTGACCTCTTCGGTAGTAGCAAGGTCAAAAGAGGAAAGTGTTGAGGGAGGTTTAGTATAAGGTATGCTAAGTGGGATGGATGTCTGTGCAGTGGCGATGCCGCTACGAATTGCATCAGTCTTGTTTTTTAAATGATTTGCAATCTCGTGAGCAGTGAGTGAAGTACTGGGTGGAGGTGGAGAAAGTAGAGAGTTAAAAGTAGAGAAGAGACAAGGACTGGATGACAAGCTATTGATGAGAGTGACAAAGTAGGCTTGTTTGGGAGCATGAAGGGAGGAATTGTATGTTAAGAAAGAAGATTTATATAAGGTGAATGCTTGGTGACTGTCATTTAAGATTTCTGGTGTCATCAGTCTGCCAAGGTTGTAATGGTCGGGGCCTGATGCTTTGTGTTGTTGTTTGTGTTGTTGTGTTGTGTTGTGTTGTTGAGTCTAATGTGGATGAAAGCGAACTCTTGTAGACAGAAGTGGCCAGGTCAGGGCAGGACAGGGGAGAGATTCTGTCATAGAGGTGGTCAGTTGCAGAGTGGAAAGGAGCAGGGTTCAACTTGTGAAGATTTCTGCGGATAATTGTTTGCTGATTGGAGGGATAAGTGTTTGAAGACAAGGACACTGTGAAGGTGATAAGATTGGGATCAGAGAGAGGAAAGGGGGTGTTTGTGAGGTTGTAGGGAGTGCAAAGATGGGAGAAAATAAGGTCTAATGTATTCCCATCAGAGTGAGTGGAGGACTGTGTCCATTGTGCTAATGCAAAAGATGAGGTTATGTTGAAGAGTTGGGATGTAGACGGGTTTTTTACATTAATGGGAATATTAAAATCTCCGAGAATGATAGTGGGTAGTTTAGAGGAGAGAAAGTAGGGTAGCCAGGTGGAGAAATCATCAAGAAAGCACAACACTGGTCCAGGAGGCCGATAGATCACTGCAATCCTCAGAGAAATAGGAGAAAACAGCCGAATGCAGTGAGTCTTGAAAGAAGAGAAGCATAGAGAGGGAGGGTTAGGGAGGACTTGAAAGTTGCTCAATGGGGATAGAAGCAGACCAACCCCACCTCCTTTCTGACCACTGGGTCTGGGTGAGTGGGTCCAGAGGAGGCCTCCATAGCAAAGTGCTGAAGAAAGAAGAAGAATCTGCTGCTTGAAGCCAGGTTTCTGTAATTGCTAGTAGGTTAAGGGAGCGGGAGACAAAAAGGTCATAGACAGAGGTAAGCTTATTACAGACAGAGCGGGCATTCCAGAGCGCACATGAAAAAGGGAGGGTGGTTTTTGGGAGCACGGGAACTGATATTACATTTAGGGGATTGCGGCTATTCCTGGAAGAAAGAGGGTGCCTGGTGTGGGGGTGAGATACTGCACGACCAGGGTTTGGGGAGATATCCCCGGACGTTTGGAGAAGAAGAAGGGTGAGGAAAGTAACATGGGAGCGGGATGTACACGAGTGTACATGCCTTCCAGCCCTGGTGTTTGGGTCAGCAGGAGAGTAAAGTATCAGCAGGAGGTGATGAGAGCAGTAGTAGGGAGATGGTAGCAGTGAGGGTGAGATGTATAAGTTTTGGGGTGGAGTAGAGGGGTAAAGAAATGAGATTTTGGGAACACAGGATAGTAATATGAAAAGGAGGAGTAGAGGGGACATATTACAAAGGTACACGGAGTGGGACTCAGACTTGTAGGAGATGTTTCCCAGGGTGTTTGCTTGCAGTCTATCCAGTGCGCAGTAGAGTTTCTTGTATCTTCCTGCTGCTTGTTATCCTGCTTTAGTTAAACTGCTGTGTTCAACTGCATCTTAGCACTCCAACAAAAACTGCACTGTGACCATCTGTGACCTCCCCCCATGAGCTGATCTAAATTTATAGGGAGATAGTCAAATGAGCACTCTTCTCCGCCCTAATTAGGAACTGATAAGGATCACATGAATTGGGGGGGGGGGGATGTTTCTCAAACACAGGCCACAGTCATAAAAGAAGTGCAACAAGAGGTGAAAATCAATCAATACAAACAGACAAAAATATATACACGATTTGTTCTGAGATTTGCAGAAAGACTATGCGTTGCTGAAGTTGCAGTTTAGAGTGGAGAGAGCAGATGAGAGCAGCAAGTTACCTGTGAAAAGCAGGGAAGCCATGATTCGGGTGCTGTGTTCAACTGCATCTTAGCACTCCAACATGCTCTCATCTGTGAAAAGCACAGGGCACCAGTGGTGGACCTGCCAATTCTGGTGTTCAGTGGCAAATGCTAATCAAGCTCTATGGTGCCAGACAGTGAGCACAGGACCCACTAGAAGATGTCGGACCCCCAGGCTACCCTCACCAAGTCTGTTTCTGATTGGTCAGAGACATTCACACAAGTGGCCTGCTGGAGGTCATTTTTTATGGCTCTGGCAGTGCTAATCCTGTTCCTCCTTGCACAAAGGAGCAGATACCGGTCCTGCTGATGGGTTAAGGACCTTCTATGGCCCTGTCCAGCTCTCCTAGAGTAACTGCTTGTCTCCTGGAATCTCCTCCATGCACTTGAGACTGCTGGGAGACACAGCAAACCTGGCAATGGCACGTATTGATGTGCCATCCTGGAGGAGTTGGACTGCCTGTGCAACCTCTGTGTCTAGGTATCACTTTATGCTACCAGTAGTGACACTGACCCTAAGTGCAAAAGTAGTGAAAATCTTTTCTCAGAAAAGATGAGTAGGGGAAAAAATGTCAGTGGCCTCCACCTGTACAACCAATCCTGTTTTGGGGGTTGTCTCTTTGTTGCCCATCTAGTGCACTTGTTGTTAATTTCATTAACACCAAAACAGCTGAAACTGATTAACAACCCCCTCTGCTACTTAACTGACCAGATCAATATCCCAGGAGTTTAACTGACTTGATGCTATACTCTGATTAAAAAGTGTTCCTTTAATTTTGAGCAGTGTGTATATTTTATAAGAAGAGCATAGATATGGATCTATATAGAATACTCAAGATGCTGAAAAGGTTTTCACAAATGGGGGAAACAGATGTATATGTAAAAAAAGATGTCTTGCTTATACTGGTGATATATTATCTAAGGTGAATATCTAAACACACTTTTTTTTTTTTGAAGGTCAATAGATGTATGAAGTTATTGGCCATAGACTATAGGGGCCCTATTGAGCCTAGTTTTACAAGGGCAATTAAAAGCCTGGGGGTAAAATGTGATTTAAAGGATAAAATTGCCCCCAGCAAATTAAAGTAGCAAAACATGGTTCCATCTCTCCAACCATGTATAATTCCACTTTGTGGTATGTATCAGTGCAAAAAAGCACTATGCAAAACCTGTTCCTTTGTTAAACATGGTAAATAGAATTTTCAAAAGGAAAAATGTATAAATTAGGGGCATTTTACAATTGTTCATCTAAATTTATTATATATTGCTTAACCTGCTTTTGCAAACTCCTCTATGTAGGCCAAACCATACACTCTCTCAGAAAGCAGTTTGGAGAACATCACCACCTAGTAGAAGAAGGAAATACAAACATAGTATTCCTCGCCATTTTACAGTTTCACCAAAAGTCCACAGAAGGCTTCGAAGTTTGGGTCATAGAACATATGCCCAGATGTCTGTCTGAAGCAGAGCAATTACATAGGCTCTGTGAAAGGCATACATACTGGATTTATACTTTAGACTCACTTTCTCCCAATGGACTAAACGAAGAACTTGAGATCTCCCTGTCAGCCACGGAAGCTGACAGACCTCTACTCGATACATGGACTCTGCAGCCAAGATGGCGCCGATGGCCCTCAGAACGGCTCCTCCACTAATACCAGGGACACACTGTAGTATCACCCTGATTCAAGGTTACAGATGCCGCTATACGATGGGGACCCGGGTGAGTGTTCTCCCCACCTGTCCCATACCACCATGAGCAAAGCAAAATCTAGGCCTAAAATGCAACAGTGGCCTTAGATGTGTGTTTTGGATCATTGTCATTTTGGAAAAATGCACGACAACCAAGGGCACAGAGTGATGGTAGCATCTTCTCTTTCAATTCAGAGCAGTACATCTGTGAATTCATGATACCATCAATGAAATGTATCTCCCCGACACCATCAGCACTCATGCAGCACCACAGAAGTACACTGCCACCACCATGGTTCACTGTAGGCACCATGCATTTTTCTTTGTGCTCATCTATGCAACGCCATACAGTTTTGAAGCCATCAGTTCCAAAAACATTTATCTTGGTCTCATCACTCCAGAGTATGGAGTCCCAGTAGTCTTCTTCTTTTTTAGCATGGGCCCTGGCAAATTCTAGGGGGGCTTTTTTTGTGCATGGGCTTTAGGAGAGGCTTCCTTAATGGATGATACCCATACATGCCATTCCTCTGCAGTATACGTTGTAATGTGTCACAGGAAACAATCACCCCAGTATGGCTTTCTACTTCTTTAGCTAACGTCAATGAACTTGCATGGTGATTTTCTTCAAACCTTCTCATCAGAAGACGCTCCTGTCGAGGTATTAACTTCCATGGACAGCCTGGACGTCTCTATGAGATGTTTGCAATTCCATCTTTGTTTAATTTTTGTATCACTTCTGCTGCAGTATTATGACTAATAAGTAAAGCTTTACTGATCTTCTTTTAGCCTTCACCTTTCTTGTGTAAAGAAATAATTTTCTTTCTCAGGCCTTGAGACATTTCCATGTGGTGCCATTGTTGACAACATGAATTGGGAAGGGGTTTCCCTTGTTAAGTAACGCCTTTTTATAATCAACTGCCTGCTGGACACCTGTTTAACCTCCCTAGCGGTATTCCCGAGTGTAGCTCGGGGTAAACTGTCAGTACCAAAAGAGGTAACACCGAGCTACACTCGGGTTTACCATGCGGCGCTGCATAGGGATTCCCTGCAGAGCTTACCTTGTCCTGCGCTCCCGCGATGTGTCCCCTGCAGCCGGGGACCGGCCATCTCCTCCGACCGATGCCGGCATCGGGCTTCGGTGTTCCGGTCCCTGTGACGTCGGGATGTACGGGCGCCGCCAGCGGCGGGAAATTAAAACATTTTTAAAAATGTCATTTTTCTCCAGACAAATTTTACATAGTAAAACATTGCTGTTTCAACCCATTTCACATACATTTTGTCCCTAGTGCTTTGTCCTGTGCCCTGCCTGCATTTTGTCTGTTCTTTCTGCCTGGAAACTGAGAAAAGTCTATGGCGTCCAAAAAGCGTCCCTTTAGGTCAAAAGTGGTTTTAGACCAACTACAGAACAGCGATAGTAAATCAGAACCACTTGCAGAATTGAGTGATAATGATTCGTGGGGAAATTCGTCATCAGACACTGAAAACGATTTTGCGACTTTGCTCAGCGATGTGCGAACTTGGCGCTCTATTTTAAATTTCAATGTTTTTGGTTTGATTATATTATTGAATTAAATGTATTATTATTATATAATTATTTTTTATGATTATTTATTAAATTATAATTTATGATTTCGTGTTTCAAATTTTATCATACCCGGGATGTTTAATAGACTCTTGTTCGGACAGATTTCAGTGAGTTATTCCTAAAAATTACAGCCTACAATAAAAAAACTACATATTTCCATGCAAAATAATGGGTACCGCTTTCAGCACCAAAAATCTGAAATAATCATACCGCTAGGGAGGTTAATGAGTAATTAGACTCACCTGTAGTTGAATTCTTGTTAATTAGGATTTCTTTGAGGTGTATTCATTTTTGCAACATGGACTTGAATGAATTTGTTAGGAAAAATACTTTTTTGTGTGTGCAAATTAACAAATCTTGTTTGCAATCAATGGCCCGCATTTTTGGGAGTATTTTGCAGTATAGTGTGCCATAGAAAATGTTGATTCTAAAAGGAAAGTAAAGGTTTTCTGACAAATCTCTTGGGGCGTACTCATTTATGCTGAGCACTGTATATTGTTTCAGTGTGTCCTATCATAAATCAGAACATGTTTTAATCATAATATTACTGTACTTGATATCCTCTATATCTATAATTTGGTAATTTATTTCTGCCCTTATCATTGTTTTTATGTATTGTTTTATCATACATTCTTGTTTTGCCACCATTAGATAGCACCACTTCCTACTTTTGTTATAGCTCCTATGTATCATTCCATCATGCACTTCTGTACGCCACCACTAGATAGTGCTTTATATAAGAGGCACCATAGTCCTGCATACACACCTTGAAAAAGGAGTACGCCTTATGTGCATGCTCATAAACACTTTGCAATACTTCTGCTGACATCATCACGCTCAACGCCACGCTCCATGAACATTCCAGCTCTCTCTCCTGGTCTTCCTCCATACTCATATCGCCCCAGGACTGAGACGAGCTGTAGCTCGATCGGCAGCTGACACAGCTACAGCGTGAGGGATCGATTCTGCTTTACCAGTAACAGACAGACTTCCTTTATATGCCTGCTTTTAATCTTCATAATGTGAATTGTCTTCTATAATAAATCTTTATAGTCTACACTTAGAAATGCTTCTGTATCTTCCTTGCATTGCATGTACTATTTGGAGACCGCTTCTACTGTAACAAAAGCCTAGCCCTAAGCTGCAGACACCCTTATGCTCCTGTGATCCTATCCTATCCTTGGATGGGCTTTTAGTCATCTGCATACAAGGACACATTTACATGGACTGTTCCTTATCATAAGGGTCACATAATTTGCACCTATACTCCTTTTTAATTGTAAGTTCTGTTATGAGCATCTCATTTATAAAAAAATACTTTACTATCACTTTAAGCAATATGCGAGAAGCCATTGATTGTACAAATATGATATTTAAATAAAATGCATGTTAAAAGCGTTATTGATTAAACATCATTGCCTTTTTTATGCCAGGTTTATGTACAGGTGTATTTTTTTACAGGTTCATTTTATAAGGCAGGGCAAAGGGCACTGATGAAATGGAAAGGGCAGTAACATAGCAGATTTTACTTTTCATCCCCTAGAAGCAAATATTTTTTTAAAAATATTGCAGCTTACCAATTCTCAGATATGATGGCTGCATTTTGTTATTTAGACTTTATTCCTTTATTTTCACCTGGTGATCTGGCCAGTAAGTCTGTTGTTTTTCAAAAGAACAAGCTGAATTGCGGATTTAACAGTTACAGGGATGAGACAAGCCATTCACCACTGACAGGGGTGGACAATGATCAGCTTTTATTTATGTATGAGGGTTCTTCAAGAAGGTATCTACACTTTTTAAAATATATATATATATAAAAGTGTGGAAACTTTTTGAAGACCCTCGTAAAACCTTTATCCCCCCCAAAAAAAACTGTTGCAACTGCTTTTGAAGTGTTAGCTGAAGTTTGGCTTCAGTTTGTTAATGTAAATCTGCTGGTTCCTCTAATCCTCCCCTCATCCCAGACTGTCAATGCTGCTGGTTTATTATATACAACATTGGCCTATGCCTGGAATTCTTCTTTAAGGGCCGGTTCACCTACGCTATATTGCCAAAAGTATTGGGACACCCCTTCAAATCATTGGATTCAGGTGTTCCAATCACCTCCATAGCTACAGGTGTATAAAATCAAGCACCTAGGCATGCAGACTGATTCTACAAACATTTCAGGAACTCAGTGAATTCAAGCGTGGTACCGTGATAGGTTGCCACCTGTGCAATAAGCCCATCCGTGGAATTTCCTTGCTACTAAATATTCCACGGTCAACTGTTAGTGGTATTATAACAAAGTGCAAGCAACTGGGAACAACAGCAACTTGCTAAGTAGTTGGCCACGTAAAATAAAAGAGTGGGGTCAGCGCATGCTAAAGCACACAGTGCGCAGAAGTTGCCAACTGTCTGCAGAGTCAATAGCTAAAGACCTCCAAACTTTGTGTAGACTTGAGATTAGCTCAACAACAGTGCGTAGAGAGTTTCATGGAATGGGGTTTTCATGGCCAAGCAGCTGCATCCAAGTTTTATTATTATTATTTTTATTGTTTTACAGTATTTATATAGGGCCAACAGTGCTATAGCGCTGTATATTAAAATGGGAGACAGTACACGAGACAGTACAGTAACAATACAATTCAATACACGAGGGGTTCGAGGGGCCTGCTCCTTGGAGCTTACAATCTAGGAGGGAGGGGATAGTGGTACAAGAGGAAATAGCTGTGGGGGATGGAGTGGTAGGAAGAGTGGAGAAGATCGGCAATTAGCTGAGGACGGGGTAGGCTTCCCTGAAGAGATGGGTTTTCAGGGTGCGCCTAAAGGGGAGGAGAGTAGGTGATAGTCTGATGGATTGGAGTAGGGAGTTCCAGAGGATGGGGGGGGAAGCACTGGAGAAGTCCTGGAGATGGGAATGGGAGGAGGGAGACCAGGGAACTAGAGAGTAGGAGGTCTTGTGAGGAGCGGAAAGTACGTTTTGGGTGGTATTTGGATATCAGATCGGTGATGTAGTTTTGGTGCAGTGTGATGAACAGCTTTGTACGTCAATGTTAGCATTTTGAATTTTATCCATTGGGCAATGAAGGGATTGGTAGAGGGGGGTGGCGGATACGGAGCGGTTAGTAAGGCGGATGAGTCTGGCCGCAGTATTCAGGATAGACTGAAGCGGGGGTAGCCTGCGGTGAGGAGGGAGTTACAGTAGTCAAGTTGTGATATAATAAGGGGAGTGAATGAGTTGCTTAGTAGTTTCCGGGGTTAGGAACGGACGTATTTTGGAGATGTTGTGGAGGTGGAGTCTACATGAGTTTGTCAGCGATTGGACCTGGGGCTGGAAAGACAGATTGGAGTCTAGGATGACACCTAGTACTCAGGCTTACAGGGTGGGACTGATGGTGGCGTTATTGGTTGTGGTGGAGAAGTCAGGGGGGAGCGCGGGCTGGAGGGAAAACTAGGAGCTCGGTTTTTGAAAGATTTAGTTTTTTGAGGAAGAGGAGTGACATCCAATCCGATATGTCATTCAGTAGGCTTGTGATACGGGCGGAGACTGAAGGGGTGAGGTGAGAGGTAGAGAGATAGATTTGCGTGTCGTCAGCATAGAGATGGTAGTTGAAGCCGTGAGAGTGTATCAGTTGGCCAAAGGAGGAGGTGTAGATGGAGAAGAGAAGGGGCCCGAGGACAGAACCTTGAGGGACCCCAACAGAGAGGGGGAGTGAGGGGGAGGTGGCAGCATTATAGGTAACACTGAAGGAGCACTGTGATAGATAGGAAGAGAGCCAGGAGAGAGCGGAGTCTCTGAGGCCAAGAGAGTGTAGTTTTTTGAGGAGGAGGGGGGGTGGTCAACTGTGTCGAAAGCCGCAGAGAGGTCGAGGAGCAGGAGCACTGAATAGTGGCAATTAGCTTTGGCGGTTAGCAGGTTGTTGGTGAGTTTGAGTAGGGCAGTTTTTGGTAGAGTGTAGGGGACGGAAGCCAGACTGTAGGGGATCAAGGAGGTGTGGTAGGTGAGTTGGGAACTCAAGTGATTATAGACTAAGCGCTCAAGGAGTTTGGATGTAAATGGCAGCAGGGAGATGGGTCTAAGGTTGTTCATGTCGGTGGGATGCAGGGAAGGTTTTTTAAGTATGGGAGTGATGTGCACATGCTTCAGAGGGGAGGGGAATGCGCCAGTAGAGAGGGAGAGATTAAAGATGTGAGTGAGGGAGCGTAGGATGGAGGAGGAGGTTGATCGTAGGAGTTGTGAGGGGACAGGGTCAAGGGGGCAGGTGGTGAGGCTGGCTTCAGAGAAGACTTTAGTGACCTCTTCAGTGGTAGCAAGGGTCGAAGGAGTGGAGTGTTGAGGGGGTTTTAGTGTGAGGAATGCTAGGTGGGTGGAGGTCTGGGCAGTGGCAAGGTCGAAGGAGAGGAGTGTTGAGGGGGTTTTCATGTGAGGGATGCTAGGTGGGGTGGAAGTCTGAGCAGTGGCGATGTCCCTACGAATTGCGTTGATCTTGTTTTTGAAGTTGCTTAGCAATCTCGTGGGCGGTGAGTGAGGTACTGGGTGGAGGTGGGGGCGGAGAGAGAGTAGAGAGTTAAAAGTAGAGAAGAGCCGGTGAGGACTGGAGGATGCTTTACATCACCATCCAAGTGCAGTGCAAAGCAGTGGTGTAAAGCACACCACCCACTGGACTCTAGAGCAGTGGAGATGTGTTTTCTGGAGTGAAAAATCACACTTCTCCATCTGGCAATCCATTGGACATGTCTGGGTTTTGGCGATTGCCAGGAGAACAGTACTTGCCTGACTGCATTGTGCCAAGTGTAAAGTTTGATGGGGGGATTTATGGTGTGGGGTTGTTTTTCAGGGGTTGGGGTTGGTCCCTTAGTTCTAGTGAAGAG